TAAGAGAAAGAAGTGATCTCAGCTAAATCCATTTATATGAAGTTTAAAAACAAGGGAACATAAACTGCAATATTACAAGTCAGAATAGTAGTTTGAGGAGAATGGTGCGTGTCGTGACTGCAGGGAGGGTTTGGGAAACTGGCAATGTTCTGTGACTCAGTGGAGTGGTGGGTACATGGGTTTTTGCTTTGTGCTAACTCACTGGACTGTACATTTATGTATATTATATAAATGTGCAGTTTTCTGTATGTATGTTACTTTTCACAATAAAAAAAGTAAAAGGGATTTGTGAGGCTTCTAACAATTTGTTGCAAAGTATTTTAATAGATGTAAGGCCTTCTTGAAAATTAAACTTCTTACGATTGATCCACTTACGTAAAGTGCAGAAAAGCAAATTAAGAGTAGTTTTTTAAAGACCATATTCTGCCCAGGAAGGAAATCAGGATACTTTCTAAATACTTCGATGTATGGCTCTCCAGTTTAAAATAAAAATATCTCTGCCCTTTGCTTGGTCACTCAGCTTGGCATGACAGTCCATTTCCTGACAGATACATCCATAATGGGGATAAAAATAAAATCTAGAATCTCAGAATTGCAGAATTTAAAGTGACAACAAAGCCTAAAACTCTTTTGAATTGTGATTTCTTTATGAACCTGATGAAATCTATGGCATTTCCTTCTGAAAATACATGTATTTTCATTTACATAAAGTTTGTATTTGAAAATACATATATTTTCATTTATATAAAATTTATATTTGAAAATACATATGTGAATAACCTACAGACATAATATTTGACTCATAATTTCAGTTGGTTCACCATGGGAGTTCATGCAATCCAGGTTATTTGGTAGATAAAGCCCTAAGGCAGAAAGAGGTCAGCGGCATGGCCAGTCAGTGGAAAAACCAGGACCAGTATGGCAGACCTGAATTTCCAAGCCAGATATTTTTCTTCCAAATGAAGCAGCTGACTTCCTTTTCCCCTGTGTCCCCATCTGGGCACTGGTGTTGTTCGTAATGAATTCTCATATAATACTGTGCTATCCTTTTTCCAAATTGGGAGAAGCCGTCAGCTAAGATGACTTCCCTTTTAAGAACGATGCGCCTTTGATTTTGCTATATCACTGTTATTTGAGTATGCGACCATGCCCTATCCACCTTTGTTTTCCCTAAACCACATAACTAAGTACAAGGAATACATCCATTATAAAATAAACATTTGTTGAATTAAAAGGACATGCAAATATATGACTGCAATTTCATGTTAGAACTATATCCCGTCATTACAGAGTTTATTATAAACTCAGATCCTGATGTCAGACTGACCTAATTATGAATTCAGCCTCTGCCATAGCTGAACATGGCTGGACGTGTTGCTGGGTGTAGTACCTAACCTGAGTGTCACTTGGCAAATGTGATGATCCCAAATGAACTTCATAAAAATCACTGGGAAGAGTCAAAGAAATAATCTGTGTGAAGAAGCTCAAGCAGTCTGCCACACAGATCGTAGCCAGCTACGATTGTTGTTACAGCATACTCAGCCCTAAATTAAAGACTCACTTGGAAGAATGCACAGGTTTAGGATCTTAGAAATAGACTGGTCAGCTCATCTAACTGATCCAAGAATTACTCATACATTGTTCTAATATATTCATTCAGAGGAACACAGATTTCAAATCAAATCTTAGACTCAGACTCGTCAGCCAGACTAACTGATCCAGGAATTATTCATACATTGTTCTCTGTATTCTGCCTTTAGTTAACCTATCCTGGTGGCAGGCAGCTCATTAGAGCTGATTGAAGCAGCTCCAATTCCTCCGAAGTTCTTTCTTAGTACTAGGCTGAACCATATGAAATTGCTTTTTGTAGGTCAAAACAATTGAATTATCAATCATTTCTAGTAAAATGACCAGAACTTTGCCTATTATTTCCTCCCATTTTATTTCAATATCTACTCTCCTCCTATATAAGAATCCTTTAGACACAATGAAGAATCAATCGTGAACATAACAAACCGAGCTTCTGTCCTCACTGAGTCTTACATGCTTATCAAAGAAACAACAAGGCTCCTCAAAAGGCTAAAAACAGAAACACCATTGGAACCAGGAATTCCACTTCTAGGAATTTACCTAAAGAAAACAAGATCCCAGATTCAAAAAGACATATGCACCCCTATGTTTATCGCAGCACTATTTACAATAGCCAAGATATGGAAGCAACCTAAGTGTCCATCAGTAGATGAATGCATAAAGAGGATGTGGTACATATACACAATGGAATATTATTCAGCCATAAGAAGAAAATAAATCCTACCATTTGCAGCAACATGGGTGGAGCTGGAGGGCATTATGCTCAGTGAAATAAGCCAGGGGGAGAAAGACAAGTACTAAATGATTTTACTCATTTGTGGAATATAACAACAAAGCAAAACTGAAGGAATAAAACAGCAGGAGACTCACAGAATGGACTAGTGGTTACCAAAGGGAAGGGGGTGGGGAGGAAGAAAGAAGAGGATTAAGGGGCATTATGATTAGCACACATAATATAGGGGGGTCATGGGGAAGGCAGTGTAGCACAGAGAAGACAAGTAGTGATTCTCTAGCATCTTACTACGCTGATGGACAGTGACTGCAATGGGGTGTGTGGGGGGGACTTGATAATATGGGTGAATGCAGTAACCACAATGTTGCTCATGTGAATGGTCAATGATACCTTACTAAAAAAAAAGAAACAACAAGAAAATAAACAATTGTGCATAATTTTCAGTTTCAACGAGGTGGAAGAAGAGTGTTTCAAGCAGAAGGCTTAGGAGAGCGAATTCCCACAGAACACATCAGACGTGAGGAGCTGACAGTAGAGCAGCCCTGCCCAAAGAACTTTCTGTGATGATGACAATATTCTGTATCTGCCCAATCCACTCTGAGAGCTGCTATGCAATATGGCTACTGAGCACTTGAAATGTGGCTAGTGTCATGTGACTCAGGAAATTATATTTTAATGTAACTTTATTAGTTTACATTTAAATAGCCCCATGTGGCTCGTGACAACCAGACTGGACAGGGCAGCCATAAAGCAAGACGAGACAGGAGGCAACAGCGAGGAATGAGACGGAAAAGTCCGCAAGACCCAGATCATGAAAAGCCTCGAGGAGCATGTTAGTAATTGTGACTTTACACTGATGCCGTCACTGTTCATCAGTACAGTAAGATCCTGGGCGGCCTTGGAAGGATTTTAGGCTCCACAGAATAACATGATATGAGTCTTAGAATGGTAATTCTGGCTATCTCACGGAGGTAGATGGGAGATGGGTAGAGAAATTGATTTTTGTCTTTAGGAGTTTGCTCCGTAAGGGGAGAGATGGGAATAAAAGAAAAAAATGACTCAAGGGTATCTCAAAGAAAGAAAGAAGTCTGTGACTAATCACACCCAGCCATATACATACACAAAATATGTATTTATATACATTGTACATAGTGTTTAACAATAATAAACCACATTTCTTGCCTTTTCTCCTAGTTGCTCACAGGACATCTAGCCTCCTAAGCATTTCTGAGGGTCCCCAAGGGCACCTGAGCCCGTGTAAGTCTGTCCCTGAAGTATCCATGCAGTCTCCATCGTGTTCTTCCTCCTATGTGCAGTGTCACTCTGCTCTTCTTATGGCTCTTGCCACCGAGGCTACTTTTGACAGCGGTCATGCCAATGATCCTAATGCTCCTAAAGCCATTAATCCTAAAGTGTCAGAAAGGCGCTCTACTCTTTGCAGAAGGAGGAGGGTAATCCTCCCCTCAGCCATCCAAGCCACACACTTGGCTTACCTTCCCCTTGACCTCAGACTATTTTCTTTAGCTAGTTCATTTCAGCTTTTTTCCCCCTCTAACTCCTCTAAGCCCTGCCTATGGGGTAAGACAAAATAAAACAAAACAAGAGAAGTAAGTCCCCAGGAACCGATGCTGGAAAACCGCCACTGGGTGCCCCCCCCAGAAAAGAATTTTGTCTCCCTCTTTCAAGGAACCAATATATGCATATGCATGCATATCACAGCTCCTCACACACTCCCTGACACACATCACATGAAAGCACGCACATCTTCTGCCCCTCTTCAAGTTCTAGCACTTCAGCTAGTATATCCATACAAGACGAAATTCTCTTCAGGATCAGCCAGCATCATCCCTGTTCCATGTATGTTCCTGCAAAAGGAAAGGACAAATAAGTACATAAGCAATCACAGCCCATTAGTGAATGGATGCATGGATTTTACTCGGGTCCCAGACTGACCTGGATTCCAGTCTCAGCCTGGTCACTTTTACTAACTGCGTGCCTTGGGTGGATCACTTAATCTGTGAACTTCGGTTCTCGAGTGTATAAAATACCTATTTTTGGAAGGTTGTAAAAATTAGAAATGGTGTACATATACTGCTGGTACCTACAAGGGGCTTAGTGAGTGGGAGCTGGTGTTTCTCCATTGGTGTTGGAGCACTGAAAGCTCAGGATGCCACAGGCCTTGCAAAGAGGACACAGAATAAAAGCCAGAGTGCTACCACACGCTCGTGCAAAAGCATTGTGGGATCTTATTACAGTCCGAGCTCACCTAGTGAGGACAGTTGAAGCCACAGACAGGAAGTGAGTGAACAGGGTCACACAGCAAATTGGTGGCGGAGCCAGGACAAGATTCCAGGTGAGGCTGGAAAGAGTCAACCCAGTGCTCCATTCTGCAAGGCAGCAGCCTGCCAGGCCGGGGTCGGCCTTGCCCGGCTCACTGACGTGACCATCTGTACTCCTCCTTCGCGCCTAGGACGTCCCAAGACCGGCAAGAGAGCAGACGAAGTGGGCGTCTAGCGGCGACCAGCCCGGTACGGACGTCCCCCCGTCGCCACGGCAACCCGAGCTGGGTTCGGGAGGACCCGCTCCTCCGGCGCCCCCTCCCGTTCACGCAGCGGACGTGACACGTGCAGCGGGGTCACGTGTTGTTGTTGGGCCGCGAAGGCTGCTTCCGGGTCAATGCAGGACTCCAGGCGCCGGTGGCCCGAGCGGGGGACGAGGTGAAGCGGACCGGTCGGGGCCCGGCAGGGACCAGGCCGGAGGCCGAGCGGCGCCGACGGCGGTGGCCGGGAGGGGGGAGGAGAGGCGCAGCCCGCGGAGCCGCCGCAGCAGCTCCCCCGCCGCCCGGGCTGAGGGGTGAGTGAGGCCCGGGCCCGCCGGCCTCGCCGGCTTCCGAGGCCCGAGGCGCTCCCCTCCGGGACCGAGGCGCTGAGGGCCGTCCCTGCCGGGCGCAGTGCGAGGAAACGCGTGAAGAGCTGCCTGGGAGGAGGGGAGGGCCGGGCCACCTACCCGGGCCCGGGGGAGGATAGGGTCCGGTCGGGCGTTGCGGGGGGTGATCCCGGCCGCGGGGAGCGTGCGGGGAGCCTGAGGTCCAAGGGGAATCCGGGCTTCGGGCTGCGCCCCAGGGCGTGGGGGAGGGGAGGGTGCCCCTGGTTCGCAGGAGGTGGAGAGTGTGCAGCCGCTGGGGAAATAGGAAACTCGTCTGTGCAAAATAGAAGGCGACTACGGCCTGTCCCCAGGGAGGTTCGTAGGGCCAGGCGCCGGCAGTCCGTCCCAAGCCCCTGCGAGAAAAGAATGCGGTAGTTTCATAGGGGCTTTTGGGAGAATCGTTTTGCTCCCAAGATGGGAAACGCCGAGAATGGGGGGTTTGGAGTGAGAGAGGGCCTGGGGGGAGGGTACCTGGTCCTGGGAGCGGGGAGTGTAAGGATCTGTGTGAAGCTTCATTCTCTGTGGGAGTGGGGAGTACAGAGTTCAGGGTCCTATCCTTTGAAGACATTCTGGGAATGGGTGAAGCGGGGAGATTTAATGCTGTCTTCGTTTGGGACACAGTCATTCCAGAAGTTGTAGTTAAGGAAAGTTGGTGGAAGAGTTGAACTGTTTGCAGTCAGCGGAGGAAGGCGGAGCTCTGCTCTGGAGGTTGCTAAGCTACAAGGAGCTTGTAGGAACCGCCCAGGGTGGTTGTTTGGGGACGTGAGCAGTGCTTTCGGGCCGAAATACAGGCTTAGCTGAGCCATGCCCCAGTTCTTTTTATGCTGCCCTGAGCTCTTCAATTGATTTCCGAGAGTCCATCTTGAGCAAAGAGGTTATATGTAGATGCTGAGGGCTAATGAAAACATTTAGCTTTTAAATCCTGAGGCAGTAGACCTAGATCTAGAGGGTAAGAGCTTTCAAACTTTTTTTTTAACATGCCCCACAGTAAGAATTACGTTAACATCATGATCTTGTACAGACCTACATGAATGAAACGTTTCACGAAGTAGTTTTTACTCATTACACAATTCCGTTCCCTTTCATTAAAAAAATTGCTTGCTGAACTCTTCTGAATTGATTTTTGGGACACAAGTTGCAATTTGAAAAACACCACAAGCCACATTTCTTTGGCTTTAATTAGTGTCCTCATGTTGCTTCTAGAGAGTGAGGGTGATGATAAGGAGGTAGGTCGGATGGGGGTGGAGGCAAACCAGCCACGTTCAGTTGACTACATATTTTTTAAATGTTTATAACATGTAGCATATTTAACAGGTGTTTTGTACCATAATCTTACTCTTTGATATCTTAATATTGCCTGATCTTTTGATGACATTTTTGAAATACTGTTTGCTTTAATTTTCTCTATCCTTTGCTTTTGTCCCTACAACAGTTAATTCTATTTTAATGTTAAAATACAGTGTCGTATTGTTTGCTCTTTTGCTATTTAAAAAAAGACTCAACTGAAATCTAAACTCATTACTTCAGGAATTGATCGATGGCATATTTTTTCTACATGGTTAAAAATATAGGCTTTAACTTAATCATACATTTCAGTATAACTTTGAGTCAGTTTAATATCTTAATTCCCCCCATGAAAATGATGCTTTTGTCTGTTTATAAAATAGGTGAGGTCCCTATATGACTGCTGTAATAAATATTAGTGAGTGTTGGTGAGCAAATTGAGAGGCCTTCATGTGTTGCTGTGTTTAAAGTCCTTCTGAAAGTTGTCACACGGTCTATTGTTATAGGATGTCGAGTGTCAAATGATGTTGCCTGATTTCAGTAGGTAAATTTATAGGGTGTGTATTTAAGACCAGTTTAATAGTGTTAATTTTTGTTGAGGATGCCTCCATATTATTTGGAACATGGATTTCAAAGGCACAGCCTTTAGGAACTGCTTGAGCAAATTAAACTTCACCAGTGGGACCACATTCTTGAGTAGATGCCTCATGAAAGCCTTCTTACCATCTTCAAACTTTGTGTGTTGTAAAATGTTTTTCTTACCTGAATGTATTGACTCTACCTTAGTTAGTGATGAGAGGAGATAAATCGGCATGTATCAGCCATTCTTTAAAAATTTAATCAGGTAAATATTTGTTTAAAAATATTTAGCTTTAATGAGTGTTTAAAAGCTTTGTTTTTTTGGCAGGTGTTTTGAAAATGAAGGAAGAGTCTCATTAATTTCATTTTTCTGGGAATCATATGTACCTATCTATCAATAAACAGTTGTGGAGAATTCACCCTGAGTGATTGTGTGTGCTTTTTTATAGTTTTTATTTCTTGTCTTGATCCTCAGACTCAAGTATGTCCACCTGTATAGCAGGCTCTTTTCCCTCCCAATGTTGCTTCCAAACTGCTGTGGGTTTGAAAATTAGATACTTACATTTTGTAGAACTCTGTGTACAAAGTGAGATGGTGTAGCCCTGAATTTTCTTCTTTCATTTATATGTAGTATGTATGTCACATACATATATATGTGTCACACATATACAACAGTATGTATATATAATATGTATGTGACGTGTCTATGTATGCTTTTTTTTAGTGTATAAACTATGTGAGATGTATTTTGGCTGCTCAGCGGCCTTTCACTGACTTCTTAGTCATGGGCTATGTTTTAAATAAGTGAACTCTTTATATATTTTGGGCCTAGTTAGCTGTATAAGAAAAAGTTCTAAAAGTAACCTGAAACTGACAGTGAAACAATTTGGGTTCAGATATGAGGAAATCATGTAGCTGGTTGTTGCCTTGCCCCACATGCAGTTACTCATTAAGCGCTACCATTGCTCCCTTTTTCTTCTTTTCCACCACTCTGTTCTGACTTTTATTTCTTTCACATTAGGATGCTGACAGCCTAACTATTCCCATTGTCTGTTATTCTTGTCCTACTTGATTTGCATAGCTTCACGAGGGTGCTCTTCCAAAGAATATTGCTGTGATTTATCATTTCCCTCCTCAGAAACGATTAGCAGCTCCCCCGTTCCAGTACTGAGAATAGAGCCCATACTGTTCAGGGGTTGGACACTGAGGGCATTCTACGGCTTCTACTCTTTTCCTGACATTATTTTTCTGTTCCTAAGTGTAGCTCCTCAGTTCTTGCCAAACTGCCTACTCATTGTAACGTCCTTTGTGGGCGACCTTATTATGGAAAGTCTGTAGGAAATGTGTTCATTTTCTTCTTGAAATCCTACTCCTCTTCATTACATCACATATGACCCCTCTTCCTTGAAGTGTTTCTTGGCTGTATTGTCTACTACTTTTCCTATATTGCCTTGTATTATTTGTGTACCTTGTTTTTACCCTTTTTAGGTTGTAAACGCATAGAGGACAGGAAGCTCAAATGTCCTCGAATCTCTAGAACACCCAGCACAGTGTTCATTAGAGTGTAATTCATGGACCAAGTGAGTCAGAATTGACTGAATTTGTGGTTAAAATGGCAGATTTCTGAAAATGCCTCTCTAGACTTACTGAATCAGAATGTAGGAAGAATCACTAACCTAGCATGATGTTGAAATTACAGTAAGTACACACACAAGTTTTTGAGCAAATGATGTAGATTAACTAAGAAGTATCACTTCATATTAGCTTAAGTTTAGGGCTTTGGATTCAGGCAGCTGGGATTTGAATCCTGTCTCACTCATTAGCCATTCGACCATCACTTCTGTTTGTGTTAGTTTTCTGATCTGTAAAATGGGCTTCGTGGTGGTACTCATAAGGGTGTCGTGAGAATCGAATGAGGGAACACATGTAAAACAACTAGTACAAGGCACATAGTGAACAATAGATGTTTATCTGTTTTCATATAATGATCATCATCACAACAGTGGTCATCCAAGTAATAAAAAGTGAGAATAGGTTCTGTGTCAGTCTTTGTTAATAAACAAATTGCTCATGTTTCAAGAATTCAGGCCTGAAATTTATTTTCCGTTGTAACGTAGTGGACCTCTATGGTATGTAAAGCTGTAAAGGTGTTCTGCCTTCTTTAGAAGGACTGGTATCAAATTTCTGTGTTAAAGTTTTTCCCCTTTATTTCCCCACTGCCTGAAGAATAAAGTGCCAACTTTGGAACAGACCTCAGCCACTTTCCTTTTGGTTCTGGCAGCCCACGTTCATCTTGCAGCCCTCCTCCATCTCCTAGCCCTCCTCCCACTGCACACAAGCCACACTGTTTTCCCACTGTGCTTTTTTGTGCCTTTATAGTGCTTCCCCCTCATTTTTCATCTAGGGGATTCTGTGACTTTCCCTTTTAAGATACAGTTTTGTGTGTGGCCCTTGGTGTTATCAAAGTGTATTGCCCATACTTGTGTATTAACCTTTGTGTATGTTTGTCTTTCTGGAGGGAAACGGATTTGGTCCTGGCATATATGTTTCTGGGACATTGTATATAACTGTCCATTTCTGGGAGAGGTGGGGGTTGTTTGGTTAGTATTTAACTCGTATAAGCTCTCCCATTTGTATGGACTTTTCCTATGCCGAGCTTTCATAATAATAACTACAATTTACTGACCGCTTAACTACATGCCAGGCACAACTAGATGCCTTAAAAACCTTATTTAACTTTAACAATAACTATGAAGTAGCTATTAATAGCTCCATTCTACAAATGAGAAAGCAGGCATGAAAGGGAAGTAACTTGGTCAAAGTCCAGTGTGGATTCATAATTGAACTCCAGCCGAACGGAATCCCATGCTCTTGATCACAGTGCTCTTCTAAAAATGAGATTTAAACAGACGACACCCTTCCCCAAACTCCAGCTGTGTGGCTGTGTGGAACTTAAACCAATAATTCAGTAACGGTCTTTAGGAATGTGATCTTTTACTAGTACTATTGAGAAAAGGATGATTTGAACTAACATTCTTCTTAGATTAATGCTTTTCCAGTGATTTGCAAAGTTTCTCTTCTCTGTCATAGCCCTCATTGGTGTACTTGATTTTCATTTCACTGCCAGAAGACATTACATAGTGCTTATTCAAAATAAAATTCACTTTTTCATTCATCCAACAAATATTTGTTGCCATGTGCTGGGCATTGCTCCATATAACACTGAACTGGACTGACAAATCCCTGATTTGGAGAGGTACCTAAAACAAGCACTGACAGATGGTGGTAAGAATAAAAGTGAAGGGGTAAGTGAGGGTGGCAGTGGTGCTGTTTTTGATGGTGTGGTCAGGCAATTGAGAAGGTAGCATTTGTGTTTAAGTTTATTTGAGGTTTAAATGCTGCGATGAAGCCAACTAAGCCAAAAGCCAGGGAAGGGCACTCTTGTGAATGCTTCAAGAGGGGGAATCAGCTTGGGAGGTTGGGGAAGTAGAAAGCCATGCTGTCTGAAACCTAGCTGGCTAGGAAAAGGGTGGGAGGAGGTGAGTTTAGAGAGGTAGGCAGAGTACAGATGAAATGAAGCCCTGAAGACTGATAAAGAGATGAGATTCTACTCTAAGTGTGAGGGGAGGTTATTGGCAGGTTTCAAGGACATGATCTAACTTAAATTTTGAAAAGATCACTTGTCTGCTTCATAGAGGATGAATTGTCTAGTCATGAAAGCAGGAGGAGAGCTGCTGCAGTAGTTCAGTGAGAAGATGATGGAGGCTTGAGCCAGAGTCAAGTCATGGAAATGGAAAGAATTGGGCAGGATTGGGGTTTAAAGATACCAGTTGATAGGACTTGCTGATTAGTTACATGGGGGTGTGAGAGGAAGAGAGAAATAAAAAAATATCTCCTGCAGAGGCAGAGACTGGTGGAGGAGCAGGGGGTTGGAGAAGGGAGTTAAGAGTTCGGGTTTCCCCATCTGTCTCTCCTAATTACACATCCCACCCTCCAAGGAAAACCCGATTCCGGCTTTGTTTTTATTCTTTCTTTCACAGTTTTGACCATGTGTATGTGACCCTAAACAATATGATGATTAATCTTCAATGTTTAAACATTTTGTATAAGCTGAATTATACTATAAATGGTCTTGTGATTGGTTATTTTATCTGTTCAACATTTTTTCAATTATGTAAATTTCAGTGTACAGCTTTTATAATTTGACGTGCGTATACACCACAAAGTGGTCACCACCACGAGTCTACTTACCATGCACCGCCATACAGTTGACCCTCTTCCCCCACCCCGCAACTTCCTTCCCCTCTGGTAAATACTAGGCTGTTCTCCATCTGTTTTTGCTTAATTTTTTTGTTCAGTCTTTTTTTTTTTTTTTTTTAGATTCCACATATGAGTACAATCATATGGTATTTGTCTTTGACTTATTTCACTTGGCGTAATACCTTCAAGGTCCATCCATATTGTTAGAAATGGCCAGATTTCAGTCCTTTATTGCTAAGTAGTATTCTATTGTATAAATATACATCTTTAATCCGTTCATGTATTGGTTGTCTCTATATCTTGGCTATTGTAAATAATTCTGCCGTGAACATAAAGTTGCTTATATCTTTCTGTCTTTTTTAGTGTTTTCATATTCTTCAGAGAAATACTTCAAAGTAGAATAGCTGGGCCATATAGTGGTTCTGTTCTTAATTTTTTTTGGAGTCTCCATACTGTTTTCCATGGTGGCTGCACCAGTTGCAATCCCACCGGTGGTGTATGATGGTTCCCTTTTCTCCACATCCTCCCCCACACTTGTTCCTTGTCTTTTTAATAAGAGCCATTCTAACATGTTAGGTGATAATCCTTGTGGTTCTGATTTTCATATCCCTAGTAATAAGTGATGTATAGCATCTTTTCATATGCATGTTGGCCATTGAGTATGTCTTCTTTGAAGATATGTCTTTTCAGGTCCTCTGTACATTTATTAACTGGGTTGTTTGTTTTTTTGTTGTTGAGTTGTATGAGTTCCTTATATGTTTTGGATATTAGCCCCTTATTAGTTACGTGGTTTGCAAATATCTTCTCCCATTGAGTATGTTGCCTTTTCAGCTTGGTGATGGTTTCCTTTGCTCTGCAGAATCCTTTTAGTTTGATGTCATCCTGTTTGTTTATTTTTGCTTTTGTTCTCCTGGCTTTGGAGTCAGATTCACAAAGATGTCACCAAGACCAACATCAAAGTTCTCACCACTTATGTTTTCCTCAGTAATTTAATGGTTTTGGGCCTTATATTCAAGTCTTTAGTCCATTTTCAGTTTATTTTTGTGTATGGTATAACATAAGATCTAGTTTCATTATTTTGCACATGGCTGCCCCATTTTCCCAACAGCCTTTATTGAAGAGACTGTTCTTTCTCCACTGTATGTTCTTGGCTCTCATCATAGATTAATTGTTCATATGTGCGGGTTTATTTCTGGACTCTTAGTTCTGTTCCACTGATCTGCGTGTCTGTTTTTGCACCAATACCATACTGTTTTTGATTACTGTAGCTTTGTTATATAGTTTGAAATCAGGGAATGTGATACCTCCAACTTTGTTCTTTCTCGAGATTGCTTTGACTGTTTGGGATCTTTTATGGTTCCATATAAATTTTAGAATTATTTGTTCTAGTTCTGGGAAGTATGCCACTGGAATTTTGAGAGGTATTACATTGAATCTGTAGATTGCTTTGGGTAATACGGACATTTTACAGTATGTGTTCTTCCAAACTGTGAGTCCAGGCTATCTTTCCATTTATTTGTATCTTCTTCAGTTTCTTGTTTTTAAAAGTCATTCATATTGATGAGGAAGCAGTGACAGCTATAAATTATTAATTTCCATTGCTGAGTAGCATTTCCTTTTGTGAATATAATGCAGTTTACCCAATTGCCTGTTCTTTGATATAAGGGGTTTTTCTTCAGAATTTTTGTGATTTCAAGTAATACAGTTGTGGACATTCTTGCACTTGTCTACAGCTGCATATGTACAAGTTCCTGTAGAGTTTACACTGAGAAGTAGAATTATTGTATCATAAGGTACGTGCATCTTAAGTTTCACAAGCCAGTGATGAGTTGTTTTCTAAGGTCTGTATTCTGTTTTCTAACATCTGTACTTCCCCTAGCAATGGAATAATTCCTATTCTTTCATATTTTCTCCAGCATTTAGTACTGTCAGAGTTTTTAAAGTTTTGCTAATTTATATAAAATGGCATTTCATTGGCATTTTAGTTTTTGTTTCTGAATATTAATTGAACTTCAATATCTTTTATATGTATTAGTCATTCAGATTTTATCTTCTGGTAAATAGTTGGTCATATCTTTCCATTTTCCTATTGGGTTGTTTGCCTTTTTCTTAGTGCATTTAGAAATTCTCTCCATTAGGAGTTAATGCATTGCCAGTATCTTTTTCTAGTTTCTGGCTTGTCTTTTTATGTGTTTAATGTCTTTTGATGATTAAAAGTTATTCATTTTACTGGCCAACTTTTCCTTTATGGGTTGACTCTATGTTTCTTTATGAAATATTTCCTTTAATATCTTAAAGTTCTTCTCCTATTAGAAAAAATATTTTCTTCTCATAGGGATAAAGTTTGCCTTTCACACTTTATCTGAAGTTGAGTTTTTCTATGTTGGGAGGTGAGGATTCACTTCATTTTTTCCAGATTGATATTCACTCGTCCAGGGACCCATTACTGAATAGTTTAACTTTTTCCTACTGATCTCTATGTCACTTCCTGCTTTATTTAATGGCCTGTTCCCTGGCCCTCTTTTCTATTCCATTGACCTATTTTTCCCCCCAGAGTTGTTTTCTCTAACAAAGCACAGTCGATTCTTGTCATCCATGGTGCTTATGTAAAATTGCCATGGACATTGAATTAGTGAATAGGGAACCATTGCCACTAGAGGAAATAGTGATCTAGGCCTGTTTTTGTGAACTGATTGATACATGATCTTGTTTATGTTTCTGTTTAATGACACCTTACTCAATATATACTGTTGATTCATTAACTTTGAATTCATAGTGAATAACACGATAGTGCATGCCTGAGTAAATCTTATCTAACATGTATTTTCTCCATAAGGCTCATCCCTGCCTTGTGCTTAGGAACACAAGACAGCGCTTCAGTGCACCTGGGGACTGTTTTCAACAGTGAAATCAAGGAAAAAGCACAAAAATATGACAAACATGGCACTAAAGAGATGTGAAAAGGATACTTGTTTACAGCCTGAGGCTGAAACAAGAAGGCAGATTGCCACTTTGTTCTGTCTCAGCTGGAAACATGGACCTCAGGTGACTCAAATTTTTTGTTGCTCTTCTTTTGTTGCAAATGACTGAAAATCTTTTGTTGCAAATGACTGAAAATAACTCCAAGTATGGACTTTTGGGTTACAAATAAACTTTAGTGAGTAAATGAATTTGCAAATAAGGAATTCATGAATAATGAGGTACAACCTGTATTATAAATATAAAATCTTGGGATAGAGACAGTTTTTCAGGAAACCATTAACATTAGCATTTTCCCTTCTCATGGTTACACATATCTTTATAACATTTTATTTTAAAAGAATAATTTAATGCAGTGACTCACATACTACATTCTGATTGACAGATGCCGTTAACTCAAAAGAGACTTCTTTTTTGGGAATGTTTTTATTATATTTATAATCCTTTACTGTTACTTAGTTCATAGATGAGCAAAGAATTTTAGGAAGGAATTGTAAATCTTGAAATTGTAAATCTTAGACTTGCTGAAAACAAGTGTAAATTATTAAACCCTTATTGTGACTCTTATATGGGGATCATATTTTCTCATAGGCACTATTAATAACTTGCGGCGTAAGTTTTGTAAAGGCAATTACCCTTTGGAGGTTGTGATTTAAATGTTAACTCTGTTAAATTCCTCATCCACTAGTGACATTTCCCCATGTGAGCGTCAGTAAAGGAGTCCAAGGAAAAGACAAATGAAGATTGTATAAATCATAAATCACATCTCTGACAAATGCATTTATTGAGACTTGGCTAATTTATCCCTCACTTACTATTTAAGATCCTTATGTGAATTGTTGGCATTAATTTGATAGGAGTGCTGCGAGAGAACCAGAAATTTTGGACCTGACCTATGTTCATCTTTTTTTAATATATGGCATATATTGTATTCACTCCATAAGTTTTTGAAATATTTTTTATTGTGGTAAAACATATATAATGTGAAATTACCCTTTTAACCATTTTTAAGTGTGCATTTAATGGCATTATATACACTCACATTGTTGTACAACACTCACCACCATCCTTCTCCAGAATGTTTTCATGTTCCCAAACTAAAACTCTACCCATCAATCAATAAGCACCGTTCCTCAGTTGCCCCTTGCCCCTGGCAACCATTGTTCTACTTTCTGTCTCTATGAATTACACTACTTTACATACCTCATATAAGTGGAATTACACAGTATTTGTCTTTTGTGTTGGGCTTACTTCACTTAGCATTATGTCTTCAAGGCTCGTCCATGATGTAGCATGCTTTCAGAATCTCCTTCCTTTTCAAAGTTGAATAATATTCCATTGTATGCGTGTACCACATTTTGCTTATCCATTCAGTTGTCCATAAATATTTGGGTTATTTCCATCTTTTGGCTATTGTGAATGCTTCTGCTATGAACACTGGTGTATAAATACCTATTCACATCCCTGCTTTCAGTTCTGGTAGATTTCCAGAAGTGGGATTGCTGTATCATATGATAATTTTATGTTTAATTTTTTTAGGAACTACCATGCTATTTACCACAGCACATTTTTCATTCTCACCAGCAGTGCACATATATTCATCTTTAGTTAGTAAACAGTGCCTAGTGTTCTGAAGTATAGTATAAATTACCTCTTGCATATGAAATGTATAGTGTGGATACCAAGAACATATATTCAGTATTAAATCTACTGTGGCTCTAGTTTTTGCATAGGAATTTAGCTTGTGCTAGGTAGCAAGTATTTCTGACTTTGCTACTGATTCATTGCTCTATCATGTTATCTCTTATTTTTGGAGAGGTAGACATAATTACATATTTCAGTGGTAGCTATGAATCATTTTTGTTCGTAAGTACTCTGATCTCAGAGTTTATTAATAAACCTTTTCATCTTTTGTAAAATACATTTGGTATGCACATTCAGAAGTGATTAGAAAACTCATCAATACATTTACTGAATATTAATTATGTGCAAAGTTCCAGTCTGTGATAGATAACAAAAAAAGCATTATGATGTGGTTCTTACCCTCTAGAGCTATACAGTCTAAGGACACAAGGGATAAACACATGAAAATCACGTCACTATCCATGAGTTAAATAATAATGGCATATGGGACAAAAATGAAAAGATGCCATGCCAATATGTGATTGATTAATTACCCACTGAGTATTTTAAGCAATAGATATCATGAGATCAGCTCTAAGGAAACAGATCATTATGGCAGGAGATACCTGAAGTATATTCCGAGTAGGGTGTTGAAGGATACATACATTTAGACAAGTAGAAAGGAGAGGGAATACCCTCCGGTTATAAATGTCAGACTTTTTGCTGCCTGAATCTTTAGTTGGCACTAATTGGCATAGTCCTGGGACCAAAAAAAATCAGTTAAAATCTGCTTAACAGAAATTGCAAGTCAGCTCTGCACCGATGATGCTACCGTGTTCACTGGCTGGTGCTGGTAGCATCAATGGGGGTAGCAGAGAGGTAGCAGCAATAGCTGATATTTATTAAATGCTTTCTATGTGCTAAGCATGTGCTAAACACTTTTACCCATACTATCTCCATTCTTCTTCAGCAGCCCTGTGAGCTAGGAGTTAAGGGCTACTGCCCCTTTTTATGAATAAGGAAATGGAGACAGCACCAAAGTAACCTCCTGCTCACAGTCACACAGGAGCAGAGTCAGTCCTGATTTATATCCAGGCAATTTGGTTCTAGAATCAGCACTTACACCACTGGGCAATACCCCGTGGGGCCATACCATCATAGCACCAAATGTGGAAGGGACTGGTGAATTTTTTTAATGACCTGTAAACTTTTACATCCTCTCTGTGTGGCTGATGTTTAACATTCTGGCAATCACTGGTTATGAGCCAGAATGGTTTATAAATTATAGAAGTCTGCAGTGATGAACCAGTAGTCTGTTCCTAATGAGGCCTTGCTTTAACTTGATAGCTGCTGTGGGTCTTCAAGAGCTGAGATAATGGGGGAATCTGTTCTGTAAACAGCTGAGTAATGATCTTAAACTTGTGTATTCACAGTGAAAGAGCATGCATATATAATTTTCTTCTGATGAAAACTAATCTATCCAGGAAACAAATATTCATTGCTTTTTGGCAGGAGGGAGAAGTTGAGAATAATTTTTTTGCTTTTCATTACTAGAGCAGTCAATACTGCTGCTTAGTTTTGTGGTTCAGTCACTTACATGTGGTTATAAGAGGTATTTTGGCTGTCATGGTTTTCATATAAATAAGCTGTATTACTATGATTTGTGCATGCCATATACTATTAACATGAAATTCTAGTTTTTTAGTAGAGAGCGCATGGCTCAACAGATTAGGGATACAAAGAGTATGACTTAGCATACTGTTGGGGCCACAGAAACCTGAGCAAGTCAGCTCAGTTTGGTGTCCTGTAAATAGAGATAAGTGTCAGCTTGTCTGTTTCAGAGGGTGGTTGTGGGAAATTACTAGGCTTTAAATGATTGTTAATCTCAGCATGGGGACACTTGGCATTCAGAGGACATCGATTCAAGAGTAAATGTATCTACTCCTGAATTTTGAGTAAGTGCCACGTTAAAGCCTTGAGATTTTTCCAAATTGAAACTGGGCTATATACAAAGATAGGGGGTGGATGCTGATTTGTTTGTGGAGTTGGGACAGGGATGAGAGTGGGACTCTCCTTGGAAGCTATTGAAGTAAAGGGTATAGTAAACGTTGAACGTTTTTTGTTGTTCTTGTAATTGCTGAAAGTGTATGGAAAATGCTTTTCTGTATTTCAGAATGCCTAATTCAGTGGGACATAGACAATTTAAGCCAACATTTCTGGACAGTAAGATGCCTTGGAAATCAAGAAAAAAGTGCTTCGAAATATTTTCACACAAAAAAGTACTTAAGGCTAAACAGCAGTACTTTCTTAATATTTTTTCCTGTCAAATACTTTCTCATCAAAAACTGTAAAATTCTTGGGCTAGTGCATTTGGGTCAGAAATTTCAAGTGCTTTGTTTACATATGAATGACTGCGAGTAACTCATTGATACACGCTAACGTGCTCTTGTAGATGAGAAAACTTTTGTCTGTCCATCACCTGTGCCTTGTGGACACTGTAGCTCTTTAATAGAAAGTATGGACCGTTCTGAGGCTGTACTCACTAATAACATTAGATCACAGTTTCAGATGTCTTTGGTGTCACCACTCTAATGAAATAAATAGTTGAAATATTTTAATGTGTGTGGCACTCTTTAGGAGAAGCATGGTGTTTTGACAAGTGGAGGGGTAACAGTGCCCTACTAGTAGCACAAAATTCAGGGCCTGACCAGGAGTCTGAATTCACATTTCGTTTGGCAGTGTTGGGTTTTTAAAAAATCTTCTACCCAGAGGAGTTATGTGCCACGTCATTGCACTTGGATGTAATTCAGTACACAGTTGAGAAGGAGACTTTGAGACATAGGGTGGTCCATAGGGTGTGAAATCATGGTGGTGTGGTGTGTTATGATAATGGATTTATCAGCTGCACTCAAATTTTACACAAGGAATGCTTCAAGTAAATTTGTGAATTGACAAACTATAATTCTACAGAACAGTTCTGAAATTTATGAGAATTAGTTTATTTTCCTTTTCATCCCATAAAGGTATATTATATAATGCTCAGGGGAGGTATCTGAGGTAGAATTGCAGGAATACTTACTTCATGATAAATGAAATTAGAAGTGCCATACAGAATGGAATATCCAGCCTCATAATATTGATTTGGACAATATCCCTAAAGTGTTTTTATGGGACAGATAGCAGTCATTTATGACTGCAGCTACAAAAGCTTATTAATGGAATACTCTACAGACCTTAAAAATGATTATGTAGATATAGGTATTTATTGACGTAGTTTTTCATGAGCTATTCAGTGAAAAGACAGGTTAACTATGTATGTAAAGTAATTTAATTTTGCATAAAAATCTATCTATACATAGCATGGAAAAAATGGTCTGGAAAAATATGCAACAAGGTCCACACTCAGGCTTAATGTACTTGCTAAATCTGTCGACCCTTGCTTT